TGAGACTACGGTGTAACTCTGAGACTACGGTGTAACTCTGAGAGTACAGTGTAAGTTCAGGCCTGAGAGCTGGCGGTGGGGTGGGCGGTGAGAACCACCCCTGCCTCCTCCTCCTCCTCCTCCAACGGGCAAACAGGAAATTCTTGTTTATGGCGAAACTGGGCGGCAGAGAAATCCTGCAGGGGTCAGTGGGGCTGCTGACCACGCGGTGATAACTGAGGGGCCTCCCGGGCACAGGAAGGGACAGGAACCTTCCGGAACTGGGCCGCCCCTCCCCTTCCCCGCCCCCAACCACCAGCTTGTGGGGGCAGCAGGAGAGGGGCATGCGCTTGGCAGTCAGGGCCTCCACACCCAAGCGCCCCTTCTCTGGGCCTGGGGAAGCCCCAGGTGACAGATCCTGGCCCTCCCCAGCCCCCACCTGCAGTCCCACTCTGGGGCCTGGGGGTGCTCTCCCAAGGGCGAGGGCCCGGCTGTAAAGAGACTGCTCACATCCCTCTCAGGGGCCCAGGAGAACCTTCGACCCCACTCAGTGTCTGCTCAGCCCCCTCCCAGGGACAAAGTCCCTGAGGCCCCAGTGGGGACCGCCTCCCTTCCTGCTGGCAGATGGGGGGGGGGGACCCAGGACAAGGACGCCAGGAGGGGTCGGCCAGACACCAGACCAGGGGACAAAGGTGACTAAGGAACCAGCTATGTGCCCAGGGGGTTCACGGGGACCCCAGAGCAGCCCGCAGGGTGGAACGGCGGGGGCGATTTCTGCCCCACTGCCCCTCACCCTGCCATGGAAACCCCAGACTGCTTCCTCTGAGGTCTGTGGTGGTCTGCACAAAGCAGGTGGGCTAGGTCTCACTCAGCAGCCACCCCACCTGCGGGCCTCAGAGCTCAGCAGGGAGAAGAGAAGGCAAGACCCCGGCCCCCTACTCAGGGGCCACTGACAACCAAAGAGGTGGATAAATAAACGAGTGAGCAATGGGGGGGAGAGAGAAGGGGAGAGAGAGATCAACGGGCCTGCAGGTTCCAAGAGGCCATGTAGGAGAACCTCACCTGCTTCTCACGTTGATCTTGACAGAACAAACTGTCTCAAGGCTGGCATTTACGTGAAACTGCTGCTGTGTACAAGCGTGCAGTCACCAGCGTGGGAGCCTGCACAATGGCCCTACGGGCAGAGCAGAGCCCCCAACCTCTCCGCTAGTGAGCCCAGTGCTTGACACCCGGT